ATTATCTTTAACCTTTCACCTATTTACCTTTCATCTACATTTTGATACATATTTCCAGCTAAATTATAGCTAACTTTAGCTTTGTGGCTAACTTTTGTTCCTTTAAAGACATTGTTGTATTGCTAAATTTGACAATTTTTGTTTATTTTTTTGTACACATTTTCTGATTCAGCGATGTAGGGGGCCCTTTTGACCTACAAAGACTGACAAGACAAAGACAAGACTGACAGATGAATTTAAATATATGCTTTTTTTCCCTCTTCATAGATCAGTCCCTTTGTTTGGTGCGAGACAAAGCTATAATCATGGGACCTGGGGCTTGGAAATTGTCTCTTCTGCTTTTTCTCACCTTCTGGACCTGCAGCCAAGCTCTCGCCAAGAACCCCATTCTTTCAAGAATACGCAGAGCTACGGAGAACGACGGCGACAACAAACGATGTTCCTACACCTTTTTGGTCCCCGAGCAAAAAATCACAGGCCCCATCTGCGCCGCTCGCGGTTACACCACCGACAAGGACCGGGTGACGCGGCTGGACGTGGCGGCGGTGCGCGACCTTCTGTCGAAGCAGAGGAGGGAGACGGAGACTTTGAAGCTGGTGGTGGACGTGGACGGCAACTTGGTGAATGAGATGAAGCTGTTGAGGAAGGAGAGCCGCAATATGAACTCCAGGGTGACCCAGCTTTACATGCAGCTGCTGCATGAGATCATCCGAAAGAGGGACAACTCGCTGGAGCTGGCGCAATTGGAAACCCGGATTCTGAACGCCACCACTGAGTCACTCCGTCTGGCCTCCAGGTACAGGGATCTGGAGGCCAAGTATGCGGCTTTGTCGGCGGTGGTGAATAACCAGTCAGCGCTGATTGGAGAGCTGGAGGAGCGCTGCGCGCAGGTGTACAGCCGCAGGCACGACCACCCACCGCTCGGTCCCCCACTGGTGCAGGTGGTGCCTGAGAACATTCCTGTCAACGTACCACGATTCACCAATGAAATCCAGAGAGACAACGCCAGGTTTTCCAGGGAGAGGGGCTCCCGCTCTGGGCCGGCACCCACTAGTGGTTCCATAGAGAAACCTATACAAAGAAACTTCAGTACTGAAGGTACGTTAGTAAACTGGTGTAAGTGTGTTTTTTGTCTTTTACATGAAAAATAGTTGCATTTTTGAATGCTAAACCCAACCAAAAATAGACTTGGAAGACATGGAAATTGTTCGATTTTTTGAATGCTAAACCCAACCATTTTGACTCGCGGGCCGCAATTGGTCCCTAAATTGAACAGGGGGGGGGCCGGGTCAGGAGCAGAAAGATGGAGCGTTCGTGTGAACTAAGATAAAGGACAGGTAAAAGTCATGCATAAAGGCTAAAATGCTAAAATGCTTTTATCAGTTTCTACGCCATCTATTGGGGAAACGTGGGAATTGCAGGGAAAAGGCAAGAGTATAATAATAATATAAATAAATTAGATCATTTGGAAAAGTTTGGTGTCCCCCGGGACACCACATTGGTGACCCCTGATCTACAGTTTTATGTCATTCTATTGGGGAAACGTGGGAATTGCAGGTAAAAGGCAAGCATTGGAGTCTAAACACATGATGAAAAAAATGCAAAATTTGCCACTAAATTTAGAGCACAGCACTTCCAAAATTGGGATTCATTAAAAAACCCATGTCATTTGACTTTGGTGCTTGCACCACAATTGATTTTCCAGCCACTGAAAGGCTGAAAATATTTTTATTTGATCCTATGGTAAATATAAATTATGTTGTTGTTAGCCTAGCTTGTGTAGTTTTGCCATTGAGTAGTAGTTATTTCATACTGTACTGTATATGTCACGTAATGTTTGTAACGTTGTGTAAACTCACTGCCTGTCATTGTCTCCTTACTAACTGAAAAAAGAGGCTTACACTCCCATGAAAAAAAAAAAAAAGTCCAAAACTCAGTCACCACATGTCCACATCAGAATCTGACTGATCTTTGTGGTCTACGTTTTATGGACAGAAATGTCTCTTCGGAAAAAAAAAAAAAAACAACCCCATGAAGCTTTTGGGAACAACAAAAGGGAGACTGACTACCACAGCTCTCTCTCTTTTTGTCTTTCCATTTCCATTTGCTGGTCCAGGTCCATTCAGAGACTGCCTCGATGCCCAGGAGGCCGGCCACAGCACCAGCGGCATGTACCTTATCAAACCGGATGAGGCCGACAGGCCAGTGCAGGTCTGGTGTGAACAGGATATAGACAACGGTGGCTGGACTGTTCTCCAGACCAGGAAAGACGGATCTGTCAACTTTTTCAGGAACTGGGAAAACTACAAGGTACTTCTTTTCTTTTCCTGGGTAAATTCCTATCTGGCTCAACTAGGAGTGCCATCGGAGGTGGAAAAAGTGCAAAAAAAAATTTAATTAAGTAAAAGTATTTTTCCTTCGCTTAAATTCTGCTCAAATAAAAAAAAACATCTAAAAATTTACTCAAGTAAAGAAAAATTTTACTGTATTTTTTGGATTATAAGTCACACTTTTTTTCATCCGAGGATTTCCTCAGCTTGGCATTCCTCAACCTCCATTTATTGTTCGGCACCAGCCATCAACCAATGACAGGCTAGAGTCCGTCTCTTAGCCAACGTTACCCACCAATGACAGGCTAGAGTCCGTCTCTTTTAGCCAACGTTATCTGGATGCATTAACATAGTGGGAAATCTGCACATGCATGCAATTTTTAGAAGTTTTTTTTACTCGTAACTGGATCTTTTTCAATGTAGCAAGTAAAACGACTTATTCCGAAAAGTACAAATTACTCACAGGAAACTACTCGATTACAGTAACTTGAGTAACTCTAATTTGTTACTTTCCACCTCTGGGTACCATAGGGTATCTGGCGGGCGTGAACGACTGTTTTCACTGTAAAACATAACGTCAGCGACACTTCTTGTCCGGTCAGTTGGTTCCGAGGTAGGAAACACTAGATTCCCTCCCCTCCGAGGGAAGGTATGTTCCAGATGTTTCTCTCCAGAAACCACTGCTTCTTCACTGCCTTCCTGGTCAGATGGCCGGTTGAGTTACTGCTCACCATACACACACAGAGAGCACCTCCCTTCAAACCTCTGCTCGAGGATCGAGATGAAGAATATATCATTGCTGGCAGCGTCAGCAATTCGGGGGATCTCGTCAGCTCGGTACAGGCCTCTGTGAGTGTGTGAGTGTGTGTAACTGGAGGCTAAATGCCCTCTTCAGCACTGATTTGCCGCTCAGCTTTTACCGCAAAGCCACCGCATTTACACACACGCACGCACGCACACACACACACCGTTCCAGAGACAGGAGGCCCCCAAAACTTAAACCCTACATCATTCATCATCTCCCGGCTCACCCGAGAAATCTACAATCACACAAACCTCAGCCTTGTCGACCGAGTGAAGTGTTTTGGGGGGCCAGATGTAGAACTGCTCGAGGTTGTCCAACACATGCATCCATTCCACTCCAAATCTTCCAGATCGGCGAGGTCTCAGCGGCGCTGCGAGTTGTTGATTGCCGCTCATTTTCCGGTAAAACTCTTACTTAGGAACGTCAAAGACAGGTTGACATTGTTTCTCTCTGTGTACTTTTCTCTCAAAGGCTTTAACTACTTTAGAATCATGAAAGAGCGGCGGGGGAAAAAAAACAAAAATCATCAAAAAGAACATCTCCGCATCCCCTTTTTTTCCAGAGCTTCTAAACAATTCTCGTGTTTCCAAACAACTAAGGCTACCGACTTCCAAACAACATGCATTGTTTTCTGTAATTTTTTTTCCCCCCGCAAACCTTTTAATCTTTCTTTGACTCAGAGCGGCTTTGGCAACATCGACGGGGAATACTGGCTGGGACTGGAGAGCATCTACAGCCTAGGGAGGCAGAGCGACTACAAGCTGCTGATCGAACTAGAAGACTGGATGGGGAAAAAGGTCTACGCTCAGTACGGCAGCTTCCACTTGGAGCCGGCTAGCCAGGACTACCGCCTGAGACTGGGCACCTACCAGGGAAACGCCGGCGACTCCCTGAGCAGCCACAACGGCAAGCAGTTCACGACTTTGGATCGAGACAAAGACGCCTTCTCAGGTAGACCAACACAGGCTCTCTTTGTGCGATGATCAGCTTTGAAGTGCGCCGTGGGGTTTTTTTATTACTTGACCTCAGAGAAATTAGGTTCTCTCTAATCTATCTCGCTGCTTTTGGGGATTTTTAGGAGTTTAAGCAAGAAATTTGGGACCTACCTGCTCCTTTCAGGGGATGTTAGCCAATGTTAGCAGCTGGTGGACTCGAACCTGAAACCTTCCAGACCCAAGTCAGCTTCCTTAGCCACTAAGCCACCACTCCCCCCTAAAATAGACTGTTGCTTCTTACTTAAAACTTTTTTACAAGACCCTTGACAAAGGTCGACCTAAACTCTGTCAGATGAAATTCGGTTCAGAAAGTAGTTTGGGTTTTTTAGTAACTAGCGCAGGCGCCGACAAACTTTTTAGTTCGCAGCCCACAATCGTCCTAAAATTAGACGGGACAAAGGTTCGCAGCCCACAATCGTCCTAAAATTGGGGCCGGGTCAGGAGCAGATAGATATAGTATTTATGTGAACTAAGATAAATGACATGTAAATGTCATGCATGAAGGCTAAAATGCTAAAATGATTTTCTACACCATCTATTGGTGAAACATGGGTATTGCAGGGAAAAGGAGGATGTTTAATGATAATATAAATAAATTATATCATTTGGAAAAGGCCGGATTAAAAAGTTGAAAGGGCCGCATCCGGCCCCCGGGCCTTAGTTTGCCAATGGTTTGCCAGGTTAGTTCATCCATTAAAAAAAAGAACTTTATTATCAGACGTATCACCTCACTTTCCTTTTCTCTCCAAAAACAGGAAACTGTGCTCATTTCCACAAAGGAGGATGGTGGTACAATGCTTGTGGCCAAACCAATCTTAACGGTGTTTGGTACAATGGGGGGGTCTACCGCAGCAAGTTCCAAGACGGGATCTTCTGGGCTGACTACGGCGGGGGCTTCTACTCTATGAAATCTGTCCGTATGATGATCCGACCCATAGACTGAGCAGACAGGCCCGGTCCATTGGTAGCCGGAGAGACTTAAAGGTTTTTCAAACTCGGTCTGAACTGTGTTTTGTCAGCAGCAGATTGATCTGCGAAAAAAACCAGCACCAAAAAAGCCTCGAAAAACAGGAACTTTTTTAAATTTTATATATCGTTAAAAAACATAGAACCCTATTAACTTGCAACTGCCCGCTGTACAATAGTGCAGGGTTTTAAAACCAGCACTGCAGGCAGTACTGACCGGACGCACGCACTTCCTCACACATGTTACGGCTTTCAACAGCCCTAGCCTAAGCCTTAAATGTGTGCTATGAATTTTAATACGATTTAAGTGAGCTTAAATGATGACACTTCCGCTAACAGGAAGCTGCAATGATAGCAGGGATACAGTGTAAAAGTCATGCATAAAGGCTAAAATGCTAATGTGCTTATATCATTTTCTACGCCATCTATTGGGGAAACGTGGGTATTGCAGGGGAAAAGTCCGAAGTATAATGATAATATAAATTAATTATGTAATTTGGAAAAGTTAGCGGGCCGGATTAAAAAGATGAACGCGCCACATCCGACCCTCGGGCCTTAGTTTTGCCCTTGTTTGTCTAGCTACGACATGCTACGTAGCATCGGCATTTTATGGTAACGGTAAATCCGCTCAATCCCAATGTAAGTCCGAATGGTTCTGGATAAAAAAGGGCTAAAAACAGTTGCGAAAATGGTGTCGCTAATGGCTAAAAACCTGTTCATTGTTACTGTTTATTTATTGATTCTGTTCATGTGTGATTAGCTCATAGAATCGTTTCTAGATTTAGGAAGTGTTGTCCTCACCATCCTCACCCCAGTATTGGAGCTCCCAGTTTCCAGTTCCGGGATGTAAACTGCACCTCCTACCTCGCCACGATTGAACTTGAGCTCTACTGGCCGGGAGCTGGAAAATACATTTCATTAATACTCACATACATTTTTTTTTTTTTTTTGAAGACGCAGAGTTATAGTCCAAAAATATGTGGTTTTTTGGGAAAGACACAGCAGTTAAGGGGTTATTTACATCTGCGTGTGTATTCTTTATAATGTATGTAAATATATTCTGAGCAGGTAACCAGAAATCCACGTGTGCAAAGAACTTATCATATAAAAAGGGACAGGTTTCCCGAGGAACAGTTAGAGAATGGTCCTGCATAAATCCCTTCACTGTATATATAAATATACATACATACATACATACATAGATATATAAATAGACACACATATATGTATATATGCATATATATACATACATACATCCAAGTATATGTATATATACATATATCTAAGTATATATATAATATATTTATATATGAATATATATATATATTTATATATATGCATATATATGTATATATATATTGTACTGGAGAGCTGTCCTGGAAAGAGTTCATTGGTTTTAATTTCAGTGAGACTTTATTCGAGTCCAAAAACGTTTTTTCTTTTGTTTTGTTTTGTTTTGTTTTAGGTGGTTTTTAAGTATGAAAAATCGACTGACCCAGCAAGTTATAAGCACCGGGACAGACAACGAGAAACACATTGCTGAAATGCAGACAGGATGAAGAGGGAAAAGGAAAATAGAGAAGTATATTAGAGAGGAGGAGAGGAGGAGACGGGGAGGGGGATGAGGATATGAACCGGGTATGGAAAGAGTCCAAATTTCCAATTTATCAGCCCTCACTCTTTACTTCTGAAAAATAGGGAAATTTACATTCTTTCCACGCAGAAGTGCTGTGACTGTATGTTTTCATTAAAATATATATCACTGACAGAGTCATGGGCTCCTGCGTTTTGCGACCGCAAGCGCAGAAAGGAATCAGTGTCCTATGGGGGACGGGAAAGTCTGCAAAAATGTAGGTTTTTAAAACTCATTTTGAAGTCACACACACACACATAAAAGAGTAACCAGCGTTTGGTCTCTAAGTTTGTTGGCTCTTTTTTTTTTTTTTTTTCCCCAATTGACCACAAAGGCTCTCACACCCAACTTTTTCACCAAATTTTTTTTTAGAAAACCCAGTGTCTGATTGGACCTGCAGCTGGACACGAAACCATGTTTATGGACATGTTGAGAGAAAAAAGCGGCGGCAAATAAAATCAGCTTTATATAGCGACGTGGACCCGATGTCCGTAAATTGGAGAGCGCTCATTAAAGCGCTCTTTTAGTCTGAGGTCTGTTCCTAGTCAATGTTTTTGGTCTTATCTCTGGGTGTGACTCCACTCACTCCAGTTGAACATCGTTACTCGTGTCTGGAACAGATACTGTCGTTTCTGAAGAAATAATGCTCTAAAGCACTAATAAATCCACAAATGTATGTTGTTGTTCTCTTCCTCTGTTTTCCTTTCCACAGCTGCATAGCAGTACTTTAACCAAGATGGTCGGTCATGTCTTGTATTGTCTATCAGCTATTTTGGTTAATTCTTTGCTAATTACTAGCTTTGGTTATTGTTTTAGGGCTAGTGGTAAATTGTGATTTAATGTTTTGGAAAAAAGTAGCTAAATTATCTAGGGTATATTTTGTTTATTTAGGCCAGTGGTTCTTAATTGTTTTCTATCATGCCCCCCCTTGTGGACAGAAATGTTTTCACGCCCCCCCGACCCACACCTTGGCGGATTGAAATGCTATTGAGAACTTGATAACATGTATATTTTTTATCTGTACAAACCAC